GAGAAGTGCCAGACTATGTAAACCACATTCAGTGAAAGCAGGCTCTTTAAAGGCATTGGCACGAAAGCGGTAAAGTAAATGCAAATCATCTTCGCTGTACGAAGCGGACTGAAAGCTACTTAAACATGAGCAATTATCATATATTTTCGTCCTAAAGAGGTATTTGTTCACCATCCAAACAGCCTGTTATGACACTCAAGAGACGAAGATATTTATTTTGAGGTAAACTGGTTGAAAATCTGGTCAAACCATTGATGACCGACGAGCTGATAATCTAATAAAAATGTATGCTAGAAAAATAAGGAAAAAAAGGCGAGTAAAGACCACAAATCACAAACCAGTTTAGAAATAACAATTTACCTGGAAATACACCCGTAATTCTTATATTTTTTTTATCTTCCGAGGAAGCTAAATGTATAACGTTCAATAATCAGTTGCTGATCTACTTAAATAGCCTCATGGAGCTATTTTTATTAAAAATTCATTCCTAGTTCAATCGAGGAAGATGCCACCTGAATTAGTGTCAGTGAAATTCTTCAAACTCTTTACGTTAGATTTTCAGTTAATCTCCTAACCTGAAATTCGTTGAATGTGTCGTATTATTATCAATATTAATTATATTATTATTATTATTATCACTGCATTCTACATTATGTAGAAATTCTTCTTCCTGGTCCATCTCATTCTGTTTTGATTAATAGGTGTTTTGGTTGATTTACGTGTACACTCAGGGGGTTCCTGAAATGTAAAACTATTTTGTGTACTTTGTACCAGTCTGATTGCAGACACAAGCATTTCCTGATTGCCGATTTGGACAAATCAGTTCTTTGAATTCTATTTACCAACCATGACTCATGCTCTCACCCAGCTTGAATTCGATCTACATGTGACAACTGAAATCTCTCTGGACGCAATCCAAAAAAGTCGAATGTGACCGGAACTAGCGGGAATCCCTGTCTGTTCCAAATCCTTCTGAGGTAAATACGCTCCAAATTATACAGATTTCGTCGTGCATATATCAAATACAGCGTGAACTGAAAAGATACGAAGCACTATACAGCTGCCTTGATCTGATTATCTCCCATCAGCAGTGCGAATCCCTCGACCTGAGCGGTGATGAATTGTACTACAGCGTCTAAGGGTAAAAATAAAACGGTCTAATCAGCTGCCCGGTAGTCAAGAGGGCACTATGCTTGCATTCTAATTTTGAGTTCCCGGGTTCGATCACCAGTTGGATCGATGGATTTTCACTGGTGATGAGAATCAACCGAGTCAAAATAGCTATACAGTGCTTCCTAGTTTTTCAGCCCACATTTTATTCTCCTTGCGCACGAAGAAAATCACTATATAATTGAATCAAACCTCTACTACTGTCATTTAATGTTACAAATTATTGCTAAAAATGTAATACAGTTTTTACACAAATTAAAAAATAAATTCTGATTTCATTGGGGAAAAATTGTCAACAGAACGTGTGTTGTGTTGGAAAGATTTACCAGATTTTTATCATGCCAGTGATCTTATGCAATAGAAAAAGAACAGCTGAGAACCAAATTAAAGCAGTCAGTCAGATGGGAGTGGTTACTAAGGTAACCTGGATCACTGAGAGGACAGCAGTGGTCCGGGAAAGAGATTCGATTGCCCAATGGATGGGAGGGGGAGGGGGGACGGTGGACAGACTCTTTGTATCTCATAAGTTCATATGTGCACACACAGACACACTTCCAACGGGCACATTCAGCGAGCGACACGTTCTTAGTCCAGCTTGCAGGCAGGTTTCACCTGCACATGACCTGGGGCTAATTAAATTTCACCGTAACCATGTCATTCGTTTTGCGTTATTCAGCATCCCTCAGCTCTCTCTCTCTCTGTCTCTCTCTCTTTCTCTCTCTTGCTCTAATCGGTCTGAGAATAATGATAGTCATAACAATAATAATTGTACAAAATACCCTCAGGGCGTTTTCATGTCACTCAAACCTCAAACCAGCTCATTTCCCTTAATCCATCCCCCCCCCAGATAGGCACACCTATTTGCTCTCATACAGTGCACGTAACACCAGCAACGCTATATGATGCTCTCTCTCCTTCAATACTCCCCCGGATGGACTGAGGAGGAGGAATGAGTGGTCGCAGTGTTCATTACGAACACGTCGTTCAGAACACGATTCCAAGTTGTTTCTAATCAAATTAGCCGTATCAGCATCATCAACTAGCCCGCATTTTCCCAACCATGCATATCACCATTTATGTACACGCTTACAAGACGAACAAACGGTGCGAAAATGGACCGAAATCAGGAAGCTGTGATCCGAGTGGACAGCTCGATAGGATCTTCCAATTCACTTTCCAACATCATATTTGCTTCCGATTCCAGGTAGAACATCTCGCTCTCAGTATCTGTTAAATCGTTCCAGGTAACGCCCACCCAGAATGCGATTACAAATTGGTGATATGTTTTGCTCAGGGACATGGCGAACAGCTTGCGAATTTCATTGGTTCGAATAGTGACAGACAATTTGACCGCTGTCGCGAAAATGGGGAGGGGTATAGGACACTGAACCATTTCCCACAAGACCATAAAAAACAGGAAAATGCATGCCGTTTTCAGTTCCGAAAATTCATATTATAAATGATTCGATTAATCGATTGGTGTACAATTAATGTGGTGGCACATTTGCATAGATGATTACACGAAAAGGCAGTAATCTCGTCTGATGGTTGAGTCTCTTTTGCGTTAATTTTCGATAGCATTATGAACTACTTCCTAACTGTACTGACTAAAACATATATCTGTATTTTATCATGTATGCTGCCAAATCAAGTGATGCTGAAAACTAACCAACTAACTAACTGGACTGTGAATTAAAACCTAACCTTTTTGATTCAAATCTACATAGAAGATATGCTTTAGTGGAGGGCTTCGGCCACGGAACAAATGATGTGAAATTTATCTGTTTTAGGACCAAATAAAACTGACTGACTGTTATTGAAAGCGTCACCCAAACAAACCTGAATCCTGATCAACTCCCGGGTGTGAATGGTGGTAAGGCACAACTTCCATACGGAGAGCCTGAGGTTGGAATCTGGTGTGGACTGATAAATATGCATCGCTGATTAACTTTGATGAGACCACAAATGTTGAGTTTACATTACTATATGGTCCGGCGAATTAACAGATGATTGCGCGGGAAAATGAGACAAGCAAAATGGATAATCAAAATTAGCGAAATACATATCTTGTATTCCTCATTCTTGAATTAAAAAAGGAAATTCCAACTTGCAATCCAAATAATAATAATAATACCTAACAAAAGTGTTGTCCAAATTTCCTAGTTGGAACAAATTCTCCTTATATGAAGACTGACTAGCAAAGAAAAACCCTACGGAAAATAATGTATTTACAAATTATTTAAATTTGTATTCCACAACCAGATATGCCGGTGTCTGTGGGGCATTTCATTAGAGAACGAGCGTATGCTAAAGCTGCAAGAACTAAACAAATAGATGAATTCAATTTACTCAGCAGCTTCTGGAGGATCAAAGCGTCATGGTCGTCATCGTCTACTGAAAGAGGCAGTCCATATTTAAATCGGTTCATATGGTCTGCAAACGCGCTTCAAACTATTTTCTGACCTCTACTGGTACGTCACCAGAATACTTCTTTTACAACACAGACCACGAAGCAATTGAAATAAGGTGAACTCAATGTTTTCCCTTACAGACACAGACTAGAATGTGAGAATTTGTCCCGTAAATGTCTGATTACAAGTTGCACATAATTAGTTATGATGCTGCTTTGAATTTGGCGTTGTTCAGTTCGTCCGTTAATCCTTCACTTTAAAAACTACGGGCCGACGTGGTCCACTCATTTCAAACAGGCACACATGCGCGTGAGCTCGCTTGCACGCGTATATATCTGTACCGGATTTTATCCGTTACCAAGTGTACATTTTTCTGTGTTTTTGCTTTTGTGATCGACAGATCACGTTTCGTCCGTTCTATTTCATTTCCCGCCCGCCCCCCCACTCCGCCAGCACCACCACCATCACCACGAGTATCAGACCTAATCATCTGAGGCGCATTCTTCACTCTTCCTCGCCAGTC